GGTTGTTTTAAGAAAAATATGAAAAGCCGCCTCTCCGAGTTAATTGGGTGATTCAGATGGCTGTGTGGAGGAGAAAACATATGTTTTAGGGATTTAGTTTATGAGAATCCGCTAGTTTCAGTTTTAAACGTGATTACTTTTGGATTTACAGGAATTTATTTTTTTTTAAATGACATTTCAAATTTAGTGGTGATAAGGTTTATGCAGATCTCTCTAAAATTTGTTAGGATTTGGTACTCTCTCCAATCAATCTCTCTGTTAGGATTTGGTTCATGAAAATATAAGGTTTGGTTTTTATTATTTTGTTTTTTTTTAAATTATTTCAGTTACTTTTTTTTTTAGTTTTATTATTTTGTTTTGTGCATTTTTAAGTCTTGAAAATTAAGAAAATACCACATAAGATTAAATTCTATGTGTCATGTACTCCATGCCTTTAGTTTTCTCGCTCTGGTTTTTGCCTTAGTATAGTATATAGATAGCTATATAGATATAGATTGTTAGGATTTGGTACTCTCCCCAATCAATCTCTCTGTTAGGATTTAGTTCATGAAAATAAGAGTTCCGTTTTTATTATTTTGTTTTTTTAAAAATTATTTCAGTTGCTTTTTTTTTGTTTTATTATTTTGTTTTGTGCATTTTTAAGTCTCGAAAATTAAGAAAATGTCACATAGGATTAAATCTTATGTGGCATGTGCTCCATGCCTTTAGTTTTCTCTCTCTGGTTTTTGCCTTAGTATAATACTCCCTCCGTCCCATAATTATTGTCCACTTTGCCCAAAAAATTTTGTCCCAAAATTATTGTCCAATTTGACTTTTTATGGATCAAGTTACACATTTGTCCTTAGTAAAAAACATTATTCATAAAATCTTAGTGGTTAAACAATTACTTATGTAGGGGTATAACCGGTTGTTTAAGGTAAAATATAGTTAAGTTTGACAAAAAATAAAATCTTTCATTTTAGTAAAATTGGACAATAATTATGGGACGGAGGGAGTATATAGATAGATTTGGAAAAGGATAGCAAAAGTTTGAGACATTCCAGTGGGGAGCGCCGGTGGCTTTTCTCCGGCCATTAGGCCATTAGGCAATACCGAGCAATTTCAAACTCATACTTTCCAAGATTCTTTGGTTTATTTTTCCATGTTTCTGATCCTACTTGCAAAAGATGCATGGAGCCCTTTCCACACAAAGAATCTGTCACACTAAACCATTTTCAATTTATAATGTTTCTAGCTAAATAATCTATGTATTGTGCTATTGTATTGGTAAAAGTATATGAAAACATGTAATATTATAATGTTTATTAATTAATTACCTAGTAAAAAAAACCCCTCGTCATATTGACTTTTTCATCAAGTTCACCACTCAAGAATACTATTTTCAGTGTCCATTTTATGAACACATATCATAAAAGAACTAAAACTAGTGGCATCACAGTTGAAGAAATTCTTGCAACTACAGGATACATATCAAAATAATGTATTCCATTCTTTTATCTAAAATCTTTTGCAACCACCCTTGTCTTAAAGGATAGAATAGACCCATCGATGGCATATTTATTACAAAATAAGCATACGTATCTAGTTTAGATCCTGGAGGTAAATCAGAAATATCCCAAGTGTTGTTAGACAATTAAGGTATCCATTTCATCATTTATTGCATCCTACCAAAATGCAGCGTTTCTTGATTTTATTGCTTCAGTATAAGTCTTAGTGTTATCTTCTACAGACGAAAAGATAGGAATCTTGTTTAGTATTGTGCCCTTCTCGCCTTCAACTAAGAAAAAGGACCAAGAAGAAATAAAATCAGATGGCTCACAGAAGAATCACTACATTAATGTCATGAACACTTAGAGTTCATCATCAATTGTTGAAATTTTTATAAATCTATTTTTTTTTTTAATCAAAAGAAAGGTTAGGATGGTGTTCAGGTTCAACTAACTCAAAAAAACTCAAGAGATATATCCAAGAGGTAAATTTTTGAGTTAGCCAATGTCATACAATATAATGCACCCAAGGGATATACCCAACGGATGAACATATATACTATATAGTTCCCTAGTTCCACCTCTCTTCATTCTTTATTATTAATATGCAGCAAGAAATGGCAGAGCTTAAGTCTCATCACTATTACATCACCTCAATTTTTTTTTCCGAATCATTTTCATAAATAAGGAAAAGACTTTTGGTCTAAAACTATTAGTCCTTTTACAAAGCTAGGAAGAAAACTGAAAGTTTCGAAAAGTTTAAATTCTCCCATTGACGCCATCTTTGCTAAGAAGTCTGCAACAGAATTGCCTTCTCTGTAAATATAAATAATAGAATACCTCGTTCTCTCCAAGATACTCTTCATCTCAGCAAGCTTCAGAAAATACTTCCAAAGAAACGCAACTTGGCCAGCCAGAGCATCTGCAAGAACCTTGTTATCAGTCTGAACTACTACATTAGAGAGTTGAAATAACTCGCACTTCCGCAATCCAAATAATACTACACAGATCTCTGAAGAATAACTATCAGCATCTCCAAGATAGCCACACTCTCCATATACAAAAACACCCCCCTCTCCCCTTATAACAAAACTATATCCAGCACCTTCTAAATTGGCAGAACCATTATAAATCTATTTTTTTTATATAAATATGATCTATGCAGTAATTATTATTCTGATTAATTCGGATTAGAGCCCTATAAATCCATTTTTCAAAAAACATTATATTTCCTGACTCAAGGACATTTTAGTCAAGATCCAATAGACTTGGAGTTTGATAAATAGTCAATAAAGACACTATTAATGTCCTTAATGTCCGAATTTCTGCGTAATAGTTTTTGGCAAACCAAAATGTAATATTATGGATTTTCACCATGTCTTCTAAAGTTTTACGTTTCCTTTCCTCTAAATCATTTTGTTGGTGAATGTAAGGAGAGCATTTGTTGATGTACTCCTAATTATTAAGAAATACTTTTAAGATTTTTTTTAATTAGAAAAAAATATTATATGAAATTTAAAACAAATCAAAATATCTAATAATAAGGATCGGAGAGAGTATTATCCAATTTTCTTTGCAATATAAAAAACTTACGCGGAAGAATTCTCTCTAATAACTTTATAACTTCTTGTAAGACTTTGAATTTTTTTTTTTAATTTGTTCTCAAGAAGTAAATTGTAATTCTAGAAAATTTTAAACACTTATTAAAACCTTGAAGAATCATCAATATATAAAGATAAAACAAAATATCTCTTGCCACCCCTATTTAAGAATCCATTCAATTCACAAACATGCGATTAGATGAGATTGAGATCAAATAATGATTTTTGTTTTAACATTTAGAGATATATAGGACACAATTTCTTATTTTTCCAGTAAACACATTTATGTTGTCTACTACTAGTATATAGCTAAATTCTTAGCTTTAAACTCTACTCTACAAATTTGACTTCATTGCTTTGGTTTGTATGAATCGTCAGCATTTAGCACCTCAATTGTTCTTATCTAAATCTTTCTTGGACGATCTTATACAACTTTTATCTTGTACAGGTACGAAAGCCCCAATGCCAAAGTGGTTCCCTGCGTGAACTATAAACGGAGAAAAGTGAAAAGAACAGGCCAATGCGCCGAGTGAAGTTCTAATTCTAATCAAATTATTGTTTCAAACTCCCTCGGTCCAACAATAAGTGACGGGTTGCTCTCACCTTACCTATTGACATCTTTAGGGGCTTGTTATAACTAACCCACTAACGAACCCCTAATTTCGCATTCGAATTTTGTCACCTTAAGTTTACCTCCCACTGTAATTTGTAAGCTATTGCAGTAGACATGGGTTTATTCATCTTTGATAGGTTCTCGGCGTTAAAAAAAAAAAAAAAAACAATCACGCATTTTTAATGAGGAACTATACAAAATATTAAAGTTAAAAGATGACTGTAACGAAATCCATCGTACAAGAAGTGAAAAGGGTACGAACTCACACGTGCAAGCATGATCTTAAACACGATTGCAAGGGTTAGGCTAGAGTGATTAAGTACATAATTGAGTAAATAACACATCCAACTAATTTTTACAATAGATATCATACTATATACTAAAACAAAACCCCTCTGAAAAATCCATTATACCATTTTCCCGCTCATTTTAGCCACTCCAGCTGATGTGTCATTTTCTAGTAATTTAGAATTAATTTTATTTTTTATTTTACCTCCTTAGTTCGGATGACTGATGTGCCAAAATTTTTCTTTTTTTCTTAATTTTTTAAAATCCCTTTTCCTTAGTTTAATACCGCATGCAACATTATTTTTTGTGTAATGCATTGATTTCCATACTTTTTAATAAATAAATGCGCAATTAGATAATTTTTTTCACAACATACATGTTCCTTTTTGGCTTTTGCATTTTCTCTTCCAATCCTAACTCTTTTCCCGCATTTCCTCCTCTCTCTTCTCTATCATATAAAAATAAGTTGTAACAAATAATTTGTGTTAATTTAATAATAGTAAATAACAAATAATGGTTGTATTTGTATACATTCATAAACATTGTTCATTAAGTAAAAACTATTTATTTTCGTATTTTATTTTATTTTAAATTTACTTTAATCAATAACGCCGATGATACATATAAAAAAATTAATAAAGAGCCCGTGAGTACACGGGATTTATTTAGTTTTGTTTATAGCAGCAGGCCAGCATGTATTTGTCTCCCGTGCGGTAAATTACAGGAATCAAGTCAATAAACTAGACACAAATTATTACTTTTAGTTCCACTCTGCCATTATCTCTAAATAGTGTTATTAAACCCTAGTTTCATTCTAGGTTTATTTTTGTCACAAATTTAGAAGAATTGCTTGGAAATGCAAGAAAAGGTTCTTGATTTCATCTCAGTCATAATGGTTTATTCTTTTTCTACTCTGTTTTCAATTTGCACAGTTCATGTATACACCTCGGTAAACTTTACTAATGTAAGCCATAAATATGAATATACCTCAAAAAATAATAATAATTAAGCCCGAGAGTATAATTGAGTGTTTTCACTATTCGTTGGAAGGTTTTTGATCAATGAAAAGACTAGACTAATTTGCGAATCATGCCCTTTGTTGTTATTCTATTCTTCGGAAATTCAAAAGTTAGAGATTTCCTTGACTCACTGATCGAATGCAACCTGCTAATTCAATGGAAGCCCTTTTGAAGATCATACTAAACATCTAAGGTTGAGAAGTGCAAACCCTTAAATCAGAGCAACTCACTTGAATATTTCAACCACCATACGCATTATTATATACACTTATATCGTACATACCGCCAAACTACCAACACCGCCAAACTACCAACAATAAATGGGTCACAAATGAAACTTTTGAAAACTATTACTGCATAGTAACAATTACTTCCTCGGTAGTTAATGACCACAACCTCTAATGCCGAAATGCATTTTGCAGGGCATCTTCAATTTTCATCAGAAAAAAAGAAAAAGAAAGGTATAAAAGAAAGTAAACTTCTTTTGCAGGTTCTGACAACATTTCTTTTTGCAGATTTACTTCCACATTGTCTCTCCTCCCCCCCACCCCCGGCGGGCGATCAAATAACTGAATCTGTCACTTCATTGTTTCAGTCCGGGATATCTGCTGCCAAAGAAAAGAGAAAAGAGTTAAATTTGCCACCCATAGGAAATGCCAGAACAGATACACAGCTAAATGGCAAACCGAAATAAAGAGGACTGTGTGAATCCATACCAGCCAAAATATAGAGAAATCTACAGCCTAACTTAACAGTGATTTCTTCACAATTTGATTTAAGTTGTCACACATTTACAATGACAAACAACTATTTCATTCAGACACTAATTTAGGATATCTGGATTGAATACTACTACTTCAAAACTTTCAACTTGCTAAAATACTCGGAAGCTATTCTGAACTCCCGGAGAAAAAGGAGGGCCTGACACCATTCTTTCTTCGTGTAAACTTGTGTAAAATTAAAAATATTTATCTCTCCCATTGACACAAGAAAATTCGGTGTTTTGTAAACTCCTTCAATGTAATACCACTTTATATAATATGGGTTTCTCGTCCGTCATATAGAAATCCCCTAAGAGACCTCTTTTGAGTCACACTGAACTTGACTTAAACTTACTTGTTCACAAGAATAGCAATGGTAACTGAATTAACCACATCAATACTGTCCTAGAAAATAAAGAAAACAAATAACATACAAACAAGAAACACAGAATTTCCTTAGGGAAAAGAGAAATTAAAAAGGAGGAAAAGGGAAGAATATTGCCGATTTACGTCTTGCTTCCATCAACCCCAGATTGGATGCTCAATTCCCGAGCCACCTTCAACTTTCCATCATTCAAAAAGCAAATAATAACTTACACTAATTCAGATCTCTATGAAAAATTTATAAAGAAGACTAGTGTCTATATCAGCCTTAAGATTAAGAGTGAAGCAAATCTAAGACCTTTGGCTTCTGGCATTACTAATAATTGATTAGTTTCTAACAATGGCAAAATCTAAAGGATATGAGTCAGTCATGGAAAGGAGACTTTTGGTATTGGAACTGAACATGGCCCTAGAAATCCTGGACATACAACCAAGAGAGTCTGATTAGTATAGCTTAGACCTCATATGCATGCTAAAGCCCTCAAAATGGGTGAACATGTAGCCACACCCGTCAGATTTTACAGAAACTTATGAAAACAAGTGTGTAACTAAGAATTAGAAGGCATTAAAATGATAAACAATCCATTGAATTTACCAGTTAACTAGCGGTTGAATTTGATGGTAAACAGTTCAAACCCAGACAATATTGCTACATCACATTGATTTCCACATTGGTTTTACTAAATATGAGTTGAAAGCTAAGAGGAAACCTAACTTGAACGGGTGAAATTAAAGAGAGTTGTGATAATTACAAACAAGGTTGATCCACCAGCCTATAATTGGTCCTGAGCACAAAGCAGAAAAAAGAAGGTTGCCTTTGCCAAATAGCATAGGATTATGTGACCTCTTGAGAGTTCAGCTCATGTAAGATAACATATAAAGACAATCCTCCGGAGCACATTGAAAAATCTGACAGCCATGTTTTTGGAAGAAACTGCATTTCCATTAAGGTATGGTGTAGTGCAAAACTTACATGATTCCTCCTATACTAATTTGGGTGTCAAATTAGTCATTAATTGCAGCTACCAAAACCTCCTTTCGTCTATCTTGAACAGTTCAGGAATCACAGAGAAGAATCCAGTTAGGAAGGGCAAGGTATTAAAGTGCAAATGGAGACTTGAAAATCCGGGAGTGATTGGTGAGAATCAGTAGAACATTTATAATGCTGTGACTAGAATTAAAAAAATTTTAAGGGGAAGTTATTAAACTGGTAGGTACTCTGGGTAGGTCCCCATGAAACAAAATTGGTTGGAGATGTAAAGTATTTATAATATAGTAAACTTGCTAAAACCAGCAACGCAATAGATTTTGTTTCGAACTCCTTGTTTGTAAGTCTCAATTTATAAGAACTCTTGATTCCAATTATAAGAACTCTCAATACTGCAGGATTTGAACCAATAAATTTAGTTAGTTATTCCAGAAAAAGTTAACTCACTTTGTATGAAGTAGGGAACTTTGGCTCAGTTTCAAGGTTAAGCAGCTTGCTCCAAGGATCATGCAATATCAGGTTTCACCGACCTAATGCTAAATTTCAAATATTGTATTCACTGACAAGCAAATTTTTAGCGTTGTCAAATTTATTGTCCAAATTCAAGACCATGAAACGAATCTTTACTACTTCAATTTTAACAATGCCAAAATAGGAAATTTATATCCAAGTCACTCCAATATTTCTTTCTTTGCCATATTCTCCAAAAACACTGACGGAAAAATTCAGCAGACCTAAAGGTACTTCATAAAGTTTTCCTACTCACTTTACAATAAAGAGTACCCCATTTAAAGTCTACAGAGAATGGAAACACAGTAATTTGGGACCAACATTCCAGAACTTGTGCACCAATCAAAAACCAAGATAAATTGATATAGAAGCCATCTTCCACACCAGAAATAAATGTTGTCACCCACAGATCAGACTCAATGCAAGACATGAGAAAATGTAAGACAAACTTCGTAATTTGGGGAAGAATCCATTTGGATATTATACCTCCATAGCGAACTGATCATTAACCTATCCGATAACCTAAAAAATAAAAGAAGTGGAAGTCTCTTTCCAATTTTAAAAATATTGCACCTTCAAAGCTTAAGAGAAGGAGTTCAAGTGAACACTGAAACGATAACCTATTCAGTTAAGTAAATGTTAACAGAAACAACTATACATACAGTGAATCTGAAAGGCCGATTTCACATTGAAATGGAAGAAACAACGAGCCTGTAAGTTGGTATTCAGGCTAAGAGAACACTGAAGGTGCTGCACAAAGATTCACCTCACAAGGAGCGATATTATACAAGTTATTCTTATTGGTAATGTGAACATGGCTAATTTCTACGACTATAATAAGAGGTTTCAAAGCAACCTTAAACTGTTACCAAAAATAAACTCTACCAGCTATAATTTCTACTACGCAGTACGCACAAAGAATAAGATATAAAAGGGCCCCGATTTAACAACTACAGGACCCTTAACCCTCATTTTCATTCCAGAGAGCATGCAACAGAATCAAATAACAAAAGCCAAGGAGCAGAGACTAGCCATGCAAGACAATGAACATAATCCAAACTCGACAAGAGTAAATAATGAATATCCATAAAGTAAAACATCACCTAATACCAACCTGAGTAGCCAAGTGCACTTATCTCTAACTGTCTTGAGACAATTCTATTTTCAAGTCTGACTTCTCCCGATCCACAGGATCACTTTGTTTCTCCGGCATCTGTCCCTTTGATCCATCCTTATGGGGAGATACATCCCCATCTAAGACGCACAAAGATTCTCTCTTCCGTTTTCTCTGGAATGTATATTTGATAACTCTTTCACCAACATTGTGAAGCTCATTAGCTACAGCAGACTCATTTAGCTTTGAAATCGGCAACAAAGAATCAGCCTTTTTAATATTTGTTTCTCCAGCTGCAACTAAAGATATAGTTTTAGATGTTTCCAGCATCACGGGCACCACTTTTTCTTCAACTATGACTGCTGATTTATTAACACCAACAGATTCGCCTAGCTCACTATGATTCGAAGAAGGATTGGCATCACCTCTCCCAGAATTGGATTCAGCGTTATCCATAGCTAATCTCAAGCCACTGAACGAATTTTCCTGAAAATCAGGGTTACTTCTGGCAGAACTTGGATCAGTTGTAATATAAGAGATCCCAGGAGCAGGAGTATTTATAGATGAAAGAAAATTCTTTTTCCTGTGTCTAGTACCTCGCTTCTTTGTTGTATGAAAGGATGGGATAAGATGCAAGCTACCAAGCTGGTTATGCACTTCTTTCTTCATGACCTTATCCATATTCTCCATGGTACTAGTATGTTCTGAAATAATTTCTCCATCGTCTATATCATCTCGGACAGATATCTCATCCCTATCTTTACTCTTTTTCCTGGAGACTGACAATTCCCTATTTAAAAGATTCCCTTCAGATGCGCGTATTCTCTGGGTACATCCATTTCTATACAACTCAGGCTCTTTGCTTCTCAAAATGATAGAGGGCAAATCTTGAAAACCAAGGTGTACGTTCCCCGTATAAGGTGCTGCACAATAAAATTTTAAACTCTCATGTGCCTGAAACTGATGGTTATTTCTCAAGTCAAAAGCTCCGAGGTATTCATTATGTTGAGATTTATTCTGTTCTGGTAATCCTTTATGGGACAAAACTTGCTGTTCAATTGGGTGTTGCTGTTTATTTCGTAGCTGCTCTAACTCAGACTGCACTTCGCTCAGCTCTTCTCTGAGATCCTTAACAATATCCTCAGCTTCTTGAAGCTGGGCTTCGAGTTCATCTATCTTTTTCTGCTGACTCAATGACATCAGCTCTGCATCAGCAATCTACAAAAGTAACATAAAGTCAGTCCTAAACAATAGAGTAAATAGTCTTGCACCGTAAAGATGTATTTAAGTTAACAGAATCGAATAATTTAGATGTACCTGGCACACAGAAATCAGCATCAAGGTTCACAAAGTATAAGCAAACACAAAGACACTAAAGTCTATAAATCTTTTCAACCAGAACTAATGATACCAAAGTGAAGGAATGCTAAATTTCATTTCATTTGCAAGTTTAAATAAGGTTTTACAAGAGAAAACTATGGTTGACATTCACCAATTGACAGCGATTAACATTATACAAGTAGAAGACACATTGCAGCACAAGAAAGACAAAAAGTACAATGTTTCTCAGTGGAAATCTCAATCCTCCGATTTTCTATAAACGATTAAGGCTCCAATAACCGAATGGTCCAGAGTCTCAAGACAATAAAGGACTCCAACCTCTGCTCAATCAGCAATGCTTTCTATAAACTGAACCACGTCTACTGCTCCATTGCAGTAGTGAGTCAGCATACTTTCAGATTTGAGGCGGGAGAAAGAAAAGAACTGCAACCAAAAAAAGAAACTTAAAATTTCTTATGGGGTGGCCCAAATTTCTTGTGCACCATTATGCTGATAATCTGACTATTGAAGCTCCTGCTGAATCATATTAGACACAATGGCTCACTGCAGAAATAATACTTCTAGCGCTAGATTTTTAACTTAAGTTCAAATGCACCGAACGTCTTCCTGTTAAGATGATCACCACTCAAGAATGTAAGAGCCGTACTATGTTTACAAATACGAGCATGACTTTTTTTTCCGTTGATTAAAGCGCCATAAATTTATGCACTTGGAAAAATTTTCAAAGGCCTCACACAACATAATTCTGAAGTAAAGCCATAAACTCAAAATTCTTACTCCTTGTAGCCCAAACCTCTACTAGGGTCCAGTCCAATAAGGGTTCCCGTGGAACAGCCTATCACCTATAGATAATAACCTAGGCTAGATCATCTTCTCTATCCAATTGAAGAGCTCCAACACCCCATATCATCCACAATGAGTTCGACAGTTCTGTTATCGGGAAAAGCTTTACGATGCAGGAAGGTTCCAGAAATATAGATAGCTTCATATTAGGTTTTAGGAAATAGCTAGAATCTTCTTATAATTGAGTTTCCTTTTAGTTTACTTTTCTATTTGCTATATTACGTTAATTATTAATTAGTTTTAGGCAACCCTAGTAACTTAAGGAATAAGCCAAACATTTCTATAAATAGATAGGCTCTGCAGTATTTGTAATACACGTTTTGATATTATTGTAATTTTAAGCTTTTAAGCTTTGAAGAGTGAAGACTATGTCTTTCTTAAATCCCTAAAGCTAGGGTTTGCCTATCTCGTTGGTTTTCAATTCAGCCAGCCTATTCCCATCACTTTAGTAGTCAAAATTTACAGAACAAACCTCCTTAACCTTCCTACAGTCAAATTCGAAGCAGAACGAGTTACACGAGTAGTTACTCCTTGGGCTTCGGTAGACACCTATAAATTGAATGTTCATGTCTGAGCAAGAGAAGAGTTTGGAAACATTCACAATTCTGTACTCTTGGTGAAGCAGGTAGAAGATAAATCTGGTTAGCTATGCTAATTTCTATGTCTGGTAATTAACCTGCTGCTATGCTAGGGTAGAAAGGGTTTCGAATTAGGAAGAGCCCATTCCATTTCACAAAACAAGGACTAAGACGTCCGCTACAAGTAAGCAAGCAGTTTCAGGTTGTTAGATGAATAAGAGGATTTTTAGGATAGTTATAGATTACACATGTTACAACATCATTTTACCAAGGTTCTCCATATTAACAGCTCTTTCACCACACGAGATGCATAAGAAACGTTGCCACATCCAACAGAAAAGTAGAATTAATGGAGAACCTAGTGCTAACAACTATAGCTTCTAGAAAACAAGGTACACCGACAACTATGATAGAACATTTTATCTTCAGCTCCACAGGAAAAGAATAAAACAGTCATCCCAAGTCAAGAGATAAGATCTATTGTCAGCTGGAAAGAGATCCTATGCCAACCTTCACATCACTTCCAATTACCAAATAACTAAATTCAATGAGCCCATATTGCCAGATATCATTTCTCATTGACTGTAACTCCAATGTACATTATGCTGACATTTATCTTAGGTATGTTCTGTTCATAGACACGCGGCAACGCTCTAAAAGAAAGAGGGCACACCAATAGCTCCACTAATGACAAATGCTCAGATATGGTAACCACAAAACAGAGCTAAATTTGGTTCACATATTTACCAGGAAGCAATTGTCCAAATATCCTATGACAGAAATACCCAAAAGAGCCATAAACATAAGAACCTAGTAAGAAAGTTTAACGGACAATCAGTAACCTGACATCCGAATATAACCGTGTTCACATTTATAAATTAGAATTGCCATGTCCCTTGGGTGTCTTGACGAGTTCAAAGTTGCGAACCTGACAGCCATATTGGAGTTTGAGAAGAAACTGAATTCGCAAAACTCATCGATGAAGTAAAGCAATGCTTCAGCAAAAGCACAATGGGAAGACAGAAGTAAAGGCCTGATCTGATTTAACTAAAACAAGTATTCTCAGCTCCAGAGCCAAATTCGAACTTTAATGGAATGCCACATAAAGAAAAAAGTACAACAAAATTAGCAACCACATGAATGGAACTGGATAGTTGTTTAAAAGACCAAACAGTAAAAACACCAGCAAACCAATTCATTCATTCGCCAAAAATGTACACAAACCCTTCGTAAGCATCAAAGTAAAACCAACACACCATAAAAGAACGATACTTGAAGAACAAAATCCGAAAGGAAAGAGCCAAGAGTTCAATTACAAAAAAAAAATGCCACCTTAACATCCATCATCTGCTTAAGCCTCAAAAGCATCCTCAAGGCTTCATCTTTCCCGGCCTGAAGCTCCCGCTGAAACCGCTGAGCCTTCTTCTCCGACGCCATTATCCTCGTTGCCGCCTCTTTCGCAGTATTCAATATGATATCCGCATATGCTTTCTTCAAAGCCATCAGCCTCTACACAACAGAATCCAGAACAAATTACTACTGCCCAGAAATTAAATTCATCAAAAGGAACTCCATTTGAGGTCAACATACAGAAAAAATCATAACCCATTTCTTTTTCATCATTTTTATGAAAGATTGTTAAAAAAAAAAAAAAAAAAGTTAAGAGTTGATGGTGGTTAAAGTCGCGTGATTGTTCCGCCGCGGAAGTGGTGGTTGCTGGCTGGTGTAAGATCATTACATATTCTTACCTCATCGGCGGCCATTGTTGAAGAAATCAAAACCTTAAAGGCATCAAACTGCGGAGAGATGATCGTTCTTTTTTCTGTTTGGGGGTTTTAACGTTTCTGATTCGAACTTGAGAATTAAGGAGAAAAGGGCAACTCAGTTTGTGTCTGTTTAGTTGTTGGAAAGTTCTTTAAGAGTTCAGTTGTTTGTCTTCTTTCCTTCGTGGAGTTTTTTTCTGGTTAGCTGATTGCCCTTGAATAATTCCTTTTATTACGATGCTGACACTGTGATAGTTTATGGGGTGACCGCTTTATTAGGGCTGTGTTTTGGGTTTTTGTGGGATTTCATATAGTTGGGAAGCGCACCAGTTCATGGATGACATGGCCGTTACAATTACGGGCAAATTATCTGGTACACCCGGAGGTACCATGTCTCCCCTGCGCGTGTACTTTACTCTCTTATAATAGCGTTAGTCCGCTATTATAATTCAGCTTTCTTTTTCTTTTTTTTTTTTTAAACGCGGGGTTATATAAATAACCGAATTCATTCAAATTTGGAAAACTTTGTGATAGAATGGGTGATGGCCGGCGGCAATCGAGGCATTGAGGAGGCAATGGGAGTCGGCGATCGAGGCGTTGAGGTGGACACGGCCGGCGACGATCGAGTCGTTGAGGCGGTGACGGCGTTCAGCAATCGAGGAAAGGCTCTGATTCCACCAGAGTGGCGAAACGGTGATTAGATCGACGATATGTTGAGTTCAGATTGAGTGATGAGTTATGTCGTTGAGGATTCCGGCTTGATGAATGCGGAATGTAGTGATAGCAAATCTATCGAATAATCTTACTGTGCCAGCAAATCAACGCAAGGTCACAGTTCTGTTGTAGATCAGCTGCAATCAGGTTTGTGTAGATTTCGGAGTGTACTGTTTGTGAGAGAATAATCAATCTAGTTTTTTCACAGTTCTGTTTTTGTTAATGTTGTATGAAGTGGATAAGCAGTTATGCTGTGTTGGATATCCAACATATTTGTACTGGATATCCAACTTGTTTGTACTGGATATCCAGCTTATGTGTACTGGTTATCCAACGAATTTACATGCGTATTCAAATTTTATTTGCTGGATATCCAACTGATTTGTACTGGATATCCAATATTTTTGAGTTGTTTATATTGAATTGGTATTTTTTTCACAGTTCGGAGTATTGTTTGTGAGAGAATAATCAATCTAGTTTTTTCACAGTTTTGTTTTTGTTAATGTTGTATGAAGTGGATAAGCAGTTATGTTGTGTTGGATATCCAACATGTTTGTACTGGATATCCAACTTGTTTGTACTGGATATCCAGCTTATGTGTACTGGTTATCCAACGGATTTACTTGCGTATCCAAATTTTATTTACTGGATATCCAACTGATTTATACTGGATATCCAACATTTTTTAGTTGTTTATATTGAATTGGTGTATCAAAGATTTTTTTAAAAAAAATTTTATTTTTTTGTTTGTCTCATTTTTTGTAAAAAATAACCATATCAATGAGTTGGGGATGATATGATGCTGGATGATGTTTTGCGCATGGAAGTTACATCTGCTCTGAAAGGTAGGTTTTCTAACTTGTTTATATGTGTTTAAATTTTTTTGGTTGATTTGTTTATCCATTGTGTTAATACTGATTATCCGATTGCATGGTAATGGTTATCCAACCATCTCTTTTGTTTTTCTCAGAATGTGGAGAAGATAATATCGACAATGAATTGGGAGTTGATAATGTGATGGTGGAGGAGGATGCCTTGCACAAGGAAATTTTATCTGTGACGAAGAATAATGATTTGGCTGTTTTTACTTTAGTTGGCAAGACTGCAAGAAGTGAGAAAGAAGCTTATGATTTGTATAATGATCATGCCCGATTGATTGGTTTTAGTGTGAGAGTGGGAAAACAGAAGTTTAGAGGTAAGACTGATAAAGTTAGGATAAAGAAGTTCTGTTGTAACCGCGAAGGATACAAGAGATCTGGTGGAAATGGTGATATGTGCCATAAGAGGATTAATTTTCGGTGTGGGTGTCCAGCTTATATCCATTTTACTGTTGACAAAGATGGCTTGTGGACCTGTACAAAGCATCTGGTTGATCACAATCATGATCTTGTGCCGAATGAAATGATTGGACTTCTTTGATCTCAACGTGAAGCAGATGAAAATGATATGAAGATAATCAGAGACATGACAAGGAGTGGCATCACTTTGGTTGATGCATATAAGTTTGTGGCAAAATTACACGGGAGAAGTCCGAACATGAAGTATACTTTGAGAGATGCCTACAATTATGAGCGTCCTGGTGTTAGATTTGAAGGTGGCGCTTGTAATCAGCTGATGAAGATTTTTTTGGGACAGGAAGGAAACTGAAGAAGATTTCTTCTTTGATTTTGACTGTGATGAGCATGATAGGCTGTGTACTTTCTTCTGGAGGGATGGCAGAATCCGAAAGAATTATGATTTGTTTGGTGACTTGCTTGTGTTTGATACAACGTATCGAACAAACAGATATGGAATGATCTGTGCTCCGTTTGTGGGTATGGATAATCGTAACAAGAATGTCATGTTTGGTTGTGGTTTTGTGTTAAACGAGAAAGAACCCTCTTTTGATTGACTGTTCAAGCAGTTTTTGAAATTAATGGGGGATAAGCAGCCACAAACTATAATGACAGATCAAGCACCTTCCATTGCTGCAAGTATTCGTACATGTTTTCCAAGTTCTCGGCATCGTCTCTGTGTATGGCACATAGGTAAAAATTCAAGAAAGCGAATTGGTCATTTAAGGAACAAGCCAGATTTTGTTAAGAACTTTAATTATCTGATGAAATACACTTCAACAGAAATCAAGTTCGAGGTATTATGGAGGAGGTCAGTTTGTCAATATTTTTATTATTATTTTGATCATTGCCATGATTAAGAGTGTCTGTTATTTTTTTTGTTGTGTGGGTATGTGTTAGTGGTCATGCATGATCTTCCTGCTGCAAGTATTCGGACATGTTTTCCAAGTTTTCGGCATCGTCTCTGTGTATGGCACATAGGTGAAAATTCAAGAAAGCGAATTGGTCATTTAAGGAACAAGCCAGATTTTGTTAAGAACTTTAATTATCTGATGAAATACACTTCAACAGAAATCAAGTTCGAGGTACTATGGAGGAGGTCAGTTTGTCAATAGTTTTATTATTATTTTGATCATTGCCATGATTAAGAGTGTCTGTTATTTTTTTTGTTGTGTGGGTATGTGTTAGTGGTCATGCATGATCTTCCTGATGATTACTTATAGGTAGGTAAGTTATACAACAATGATGGATAACCAGCAAATAATATATGGACAAGCAGCTGCATAGAAGCACAACTAAAAAAAGGCATGGATAACTAGTTTACACATTGTGGATAAACCAGCAATTATGGCTGGATAACTAGTTTACAAATTATGGATAACCACCCGTTATGGATGGATAACTAGTTTACACATTGTGGATAACCAGCAATTATGGCTGGATAACTAGTTTACACATTCTGGATAACCACCCGTTATGGCTGGATAACTAGTTTACATATTGTGGATAACCAGCAATTATGGCTGGATAACTAGTTTACACATTCTGGATAACCACCCGTTATGGCTGGATAACTAGTTTACACATTGTGGATAACCAGCAATTATCTCTGGATAACTAGTTTACACATTCTGGATAACCACCTATTATGGCTGGAAAACTAGTAGAAAGCCTTTGTATAAGCATTAGGAAATTATTGCAGGGGTTTAAAGGGGTTACTGATGGATAGACAGTACCATGTTTTGGATAATCTGTAAATGATTACTGGATAAGTAGTAAAAAGCCTAAGGATATACATGTTTCTTTGTGGATCTATATGGATAATCTAACTATTTTTCTTTTTATGCATCCGTTTTATATTGTTGTGCCCAGATTATTGGATGAGTATGATTGTCATGATGACAAATGGCTCAATGGTATTTATGATGTGAGGTATATGTGGTGCCCTACATTTTGTAAAGATGTTTTTTCTGGTGGTACATTGTCTCACAGAGGAGCGAGTCAACAAATAATGCAATTTGTCGTAAAATAAAGGCCACATCATCGCTTTGTGATTTCCATGGAATTTTTTCTGATGTTGTACACTGTTGGCGGGTAGCTGTGAGGGGTGAAGATCTACGTTGTAGCCAGGGAAACATCGATTCATATCTTCCTGGTGACCCTTTTCTGGAGAGCATTCGTAGAGTATACACACTTGAAGCATTTCGGGAGGTTCAACAGTTGTACAAAGATGGGATGTTGTGCAGGCAGGAGCAGTTAGAGGTCTCAAATGATGGCAATATTGTGACGTACAATGTTTGGCGGTTTGGGATAGAGCACTTTAAGTATGTGGTTGTACATGACACTAGGTTACAGAGATTCTCATACATGTGTAGGTACTACTCTGAGGCGGGCATGCTTTGTTGCCACATTCTTCGAATTTGTCATGTAACCTCTGTTGATGAGTTTCCTAAAGATTATATATGTATGAGATGGAGAAAAAGTTATGGTGCCAGGTCAAGCATAGCTAATGAGGGAGATGGAAAAGCTAATGGGCCATTGCTGTGGAAGGCGCTAATTATGAGACGATTTTCAGACTTGGTGTATGCAAGTAAATATAGCAAAGATGCAAAGAAATGTTGTGATGAGGCGGTTGACAGGCTTAAAGAAGAACTCGGAAGTTTCATCGGTTCGAATAATAATGATGAGTCTATAGACAATGATGGTGTTATAAAGAATCCGGCTGTAAAGAGGAAGAAGTTTGGTCGCAGGAACGAATGTTCTAAAAGCATTGTTGAGAAGGCATGTAACAAAGTCAGAGGCAGGAAAACAAATGCAAGAATTGCTGCTGACCAAACAAGAGCTTCAGTTGCATCAGACCTGCATTATCAAAGCATACCATTTCCTTATCCAAAGGGAGCTGCTCAACATTTTTCAGGCTCAGGAAGTTTTGCTACTGTGAATGCTTCCCATCAAAGCATGCCATCTTTGAACGTAAATTCTGGTGGATTCTCATTTACTAATCCAAGTGTAGCTGCCTAGGATTTTTCAGGGGCAGGGGCTTCCACTTCTGTGAATGCTTCTCATCAAAGCATGCCATTCATCAACTAAAATTCCGGTGGATTCTCATTTCTAATTCCCAAGGGAGCTGGCCAGGAGTTTCAAGGCGCAAGCACTTCCGCTGCTGTGAATGCTTCTCATCAAAACATGACATTCATGAATCAAAACTTTGGTGGGTTCTCATTTCCTAACTGAAGGGAAGCTGCCAGGGAGGCTGGAGCGCAGCATTTCTTCACAAGATGTTTTATTAGTATTTTTACTTGATGTTGAAATGAACAGTATTAATGGTGTAAAGATTTTTATTTAAAAAGTATTATTTATTTTAAATTGGAGTATTATCCAACCAGTTTGAACTGGTTATCCATTTTGTTTGTACTAGTTATCCAAGTGGTTATTTTAAATTGGTTATCCGTTTTGTTCATGGTGATTATCCTACCAGTTTTAACTAGTTATCCAAGTTATTTGTACTGGATATCCACCCATTTGGTTTATATGCCTATCGAACTTTTTTGTACTGGATATCCATTTCGTTTGTACTAGATATTCATTTCATTTGTACTGGATATCCAACTCGTCTATACTGGATATCCACCTCGCCTGTACCGGATATGCAACTTTAAATGCATATAGATATTACAAAAAAGACATGAACACGTTGAACACGCTTTCTTCACAAATAATATCATTGGATAACCAGCATAGATAATCTGGATAATTAGTACAAAGTCCCGGGATAACCAGTATAAGATCAATGAACAATTATTTTCAGTAATAAGTTAAAAAGGGAAAGATAAATTTTTTTAAAGAAAACAAAAATCCTAAAAGTGTGTTAATGTCTCCCAGAAGTAACATGCTGTAATGATGAAACTGGTTTCTAGATCCGGCGATGTACTTGAGTGTGTGATTTTCCTGGTAGGAACACTATACAACAGCAAATGTCGATTATCGTATCCTTTGACAATGAACTGTCCCGCTGGAGATGATTTGTGGCTTAGAAATACTGGATAAAGCCAATCATGACAGAACTGTAATCCGTGTGGAACGTGTGTGTTCGCATTTGGGAATTCATTGGTCTCGAACATGTAATCCCATGTGAAAGTATTTGGATCCCATGCCCACATCTGACAGTGATGATTCTGAGTAATGTGGTACTCATCTATTACACACAAAGTCCCCTGGAAGTCCAATATTTTCACTTGGAGGTTCATATGATAAGGATTAGTGAGGTTAAAGAAGATTGGAGATGGAGGGCAGTTTATGGTTTGGAATTGTTGAGTGTGGTAGTCAAACACGACCAGCAACTCTTGAGGTGTTGCTATTTCAGAGGATAGTTTGTCTACACGCCAGTACACGAATCTATCAAACCAGGTTCTATCAGATACAAGGCGAGGACATACATTGCAAAGTGTTTTCTATTCCCCTCTATGAATACTTGAACAACTTTGAAAAGAAAAAATGCAGCCTTGCATGTTTTTTCCATCGGCAATAAGGGCCATGAAAACGTAAGTTTTTGAGGATGATTTGTACCCAAATGCTGTTTCACAATTGCTGAGAGGGACATCATATGGCCATTCAATTGATGCAAGTTGTGTTGTCTTTGGGTTCAAGAATTTGATTTGAGACCTGGTTTGCAGACAGACCAAATCTGTGGTGATAGGCGTGATTTTATGGATGCCGTCGTCACCCATCGACATCTCTTCTTGCAATCGTATGTGGTTGCATGGGTTACCCATTTGCACTTTTATGTTGGTGGCGATTAGTTTGTCTTGCAACAGGTGACCTTCTTGACTTGTTTGAGTGAAAACAAGGATGTTGTTTTCAGTTGCAGGGTATCTCATCTCACGTTTTTTAAGAACAAATTCTTGTCTTTTCATCATTTGCTCCCAAGCTTTGCTGACACGACGAAACTCACCAATCTTTTCCAATGTCAGATTAATGAATATATTATCAAGCATATCGTGATGGATATATTCAGGGTAGTTGTTCTTTTCTTGCTTTGCTTGCCTGAGGGACATTTGTTTGGTTGTGGAATTTGAGGAAATTTTTTCGTTTTTCATTTTTTTCTGGCTGTTGGATGTTTTGGATGCTCAAATCAGGCATTCTGGTGTATGTGCAGATGGGGGAGTTTTATAGAAATGTTGTATGAGGAGATGTCAGGGAGTTTTATAGAAATGATATATGTGGAGATGAGGGAGTTTATACAGAGGTAGTTTGACGGATTAAGTACCCATGCAGTCCTATCTTTTTTCACAAATCAGTGTTTTCTCACTCTCTATTCATTAACTGTCATTGTGATAATCAAGAAACTCATTTAATGACAGTTATGTAACTGATCCTTATTCAATCCATTCCATGTAAAAACGTGTGGCTCTGTAACTACCCATTAGATCATGATGTACTCTGCACAAACATGAGCTTTTTCAGTTTTCTTTTTTTATTTTTACTCCCTCAATCTTTTAAATTCTATTTAATTACAAAACGTGTGGCTTTTCAGTTATACACAGTAACATGCTCCACACTGTGGATAACCAGTATTGACATAGTGGATAACCAGTGTTCCCACTATGGATAACCAGTTAAACACAGCTGGATAACCAGTGTTGACACTATGGACAAGCATTTTTCATAAAGAATAAAAACAAAGGAAAAATTCAATAAGCATTACAAACCGTTTGGGTAATCAGTACTAACACATTGCGCAAGTTCTGATAACCATTTTGAATAACCAGTGTGCACATTATGGATAACCAGTTACACACAGCTGGATAACCAGTGTTAACACTATGGACAAGTATTTTTCATCAAGAATAAAAACAAAGTAAAAATTCAATAAGCATTACAAACTGTTTGGATAATCAGTACTAACACATTGGGCAACTATTATTAACCTGTTGGATAATCAGTGCTGATAATGTGGACTATCATTTTTTTCCTTTTATATTTTTCTTGGATATCCTTGTCCGTATTTTTTACACTGGTTATCCAGCTGCCCCTCATTTATTTTTTGTTCTCCATCATTTGGAAAACTGCCCCTCATTCAATTAAATAGTATTTATGAAATTTGCCATGTTCGGCATGGGGGCGGCACAGCCGCGAAAGGCGGCGCAGCTGCGGGCATCGACGCAGCCGGTCGTTTAGTTTATCACGGAGGGATTTATACAAGTAATTTGTGTCCCCTCTTAACGCAATAACACACTCTCCTTATATACACACTCTCCTTACACACATACGAAAAAAGGATTACCTTAGCTACATTGGCGTGTTCGGCGGGGCGGCGCAGCCGGGGCAGGTTGGTGACCTGCGATTCTGGTAGCCGCGGGAGTCGTTTAGTTTATCATGGGGGGCGAAGCCCCCCGATGAACATGCCGTTTGGATAGCCATTTTCTTATGGATATTTTCTTTTGTTATGTCTTTTTGGAAACCCTGTCTGAATCCTTGTTTTGTTATGTCCACGTGATGGATGGGCAGTATTGAGGTTTTGGATAACAAGTATAAACTCATGGATAATCAGGTTAAAGACTGTACTTGTATTTTTTTGACTGGATAATCACTATAAAACATTCGGATAATCAGGTGTAACAAGTTGGACAACTAGTACAAAGATCCTGGATAACCATTACAAATGGTTGGATATTGCTGCACATTGGCTGGATAACCAGTACAAAAGTCCTGGATAATCAATATAGAGAATTGGATAATCAGCAAAGAAATATTGGATAAGCAGTATAACATCATAGGATAGGCAGTTTAATAAAGAAGTAGAAAGACCAAGAAATTGGGACACTCAGTTTTTGTTGTTTGGGAATTTACAGAAATATTTGGATGACCAAAATACATTGTCTTGTTATTTTCTTATGGATATTTTCTTTTGTTATGTCTTTTTGGATAATCAGGTTAAAGACTGTACTTGCATTTTTTTGACTGGATAATCACTATAAAACATTCGGATAATCAGGTGTAACAAGTTGGATAACTAGTACAAAGATCCTGGATAACCATTACAAACGGTTGGATAATATACTAGTATGGCCAGTACACAACTGTTGGATATCAAACACTTTAGGATCAACAGTAAATCAATTATACAAGAGAACATAATGACAGTTCATTTAACCCATCCCTTAATTTTTCTGTCATTGTAGTAAGATTTGCTGCTCAAATCAACATGATCTGGAATTTCTTTTTGTTCTTCTTCAGCAGTATTAGTATAGAACTGGTGCATTGCTTCGAGGATATTGTCCTTATTTTTGTTGGCTGGGTGCATAAGGATTTTTATCATGTATTTCTACCTGCACTCTTTGATGTTTCCGGTGTTGAAATCCAAAGTAGTACCATCCTCGTACTCACCACCATCATACCGCTCCATGTGGTGCATTGTGTATATTCTACAATTTTCTGCATTCGGCGTTTTGTCCTTATGCGATGGTAGCGTAACCTCTGTGAAGGTGTACTGAGCACTGACCAGTTCTATGCGTGGAAACACGAATGCAACGTAGCTTTTGAAGAACCGAAACTGTGATGCCATAAAATCCAAGGATCAGCAAAATGCAATGGATAATTCTTAAAGTATGACAATCATTTTGTATCTTTTTTTTCACTCACAAGTAGATCTTTCGTTGGCTTGTAGTAGTCCAAATCTTTTGCATGAATATTGTTGAGGACAAGCACTTTCATTTCTTCAACCAACAACACATCCAAGAAGTAATGGTCTTGGTAGTTTACTGGGAAGTAGATATGATATTTCACATTGAAGGGAGAAACCATATGAAAATTTTTTAACAGCCAATTATAGAAAGAGTGAAGTAGGTGAAAGATGATGCTTACAGCTTTTGCCGCTAACATGGATGTTACAGTAAGGCCTTGTTCTTCTAGTTCAAGACCCAACCTCTCATAGAATGTGAACTCGATTTCCTCTTTGTTACTGCCCTGTTGATAGTATCGACTGATTGTATCCTGCGTTATTGTTTGAGATGGTTGGAAAATGATTCAATGATCAGTACAATGGTTGGAAAATGCAGTAGAAAACAATGATCGGAATTAAGCACATACAAGGTCAACCAAAAGTACCCTAGATGACACACAAGAAGGAATGGTTAACCAGTTCAGATCTTGTGAATAAGTAGTACAGAACAGATGGATAACCAGCAAATGAATCATGGACAAGCCACCACATAGAAGGCTTGGATAACCATTTCAACTCTAGTGGACAAGCATTAGTAACAAATTGGATAATAAGTACAAACATATAGATAAACAACTTGCAGACATGTGACAAGTATTTTACCAGGGCGGGATAAACAATAAGGGTTTAGTTGACTTACAAATGACGAAACACCAAAGAATATCCGTCTTGGGGAGTCACTCTTAGCTTCTTCTTTGTTTAGGATGACAGCCCAAGCATCTATGATGCTGTTTTCTATCCATGTCCCTTCCCTCATGGAATAGAATGTTGTCCTTTCAGCCCAAATGATTTTTCCAAATTCAAACAAGAGTTTCCTGCATAGAAAAAGTAGTCAAATAGACAAATAGTTGAAAAACTGGTAAATTTTTTATCCCAGGGGTAAGGGTGGTGACTTTTACCCTGATTTAACTATTTCTTCTTGTCTTTGTAGGAGAGCAAAGTCTATCAACAGGGCTTCTTCTTGGGTCATTTTCTTCTTCTCCTCCGTCCACTGTATGAATTTTTTCTTGTTCTCCTTCTGCAGCATGAACGGTGACCTGAACCGTTCGGGCAACCGGTGGACTCTTGGTGGATTTCTCCTCTTAGGTTTTTCATTGAGGATCCTAGGACAAAACAAAAGAGAGTTAGTATGTAAATTCGTCTTTCTAATTTATAGTGGGGAGTCACAGTGGATCAAACTTACTTTTCCACTGTCTTTGTTAACTCTTCATCAAGCTCATCAGCTTCCTTTGAGATTGCAGACGGTGGCGTGGTACACTCATTTTTCTCCAGCATCACTAGACCACCCTTGGTAGAAGCAATATTCTAATCGGGTGAAATTATGCTTAAAGGGACTGCTTCAACCACCTTTGAGTTCTTCTCAACTTCTTCTGCAGCAGCGGCAATCATCTCTAGTTTTTTGGTATCACTTAATGAGTTTGAAGCTGGTGAACTGGCCCTTCTTATGATTTCATCGATGGAAGGAGTGGGATTCTTTGTTTCGTCGAGTGCAGATGGTACTGGATATTCTTCTGCTTCTATAGTCTCATTGACATCTTTATCCAAATTAACACTTCCTGTGATATCTTCCTCAGTGTTCTTCTCCTGGGTTGTCTCGTAACTGTCTTCCTGACTGGAGAAGATACCCATGTTAAAGTGTGGGATAGTTGGGTCTTTGAATACTTTCCTTTTCTTGGTACCAATGCTTCTCGACCTTCTGGTATAGGTGGATGTCACACCTGAATCCCAGCCGGTGGAATCTTGATGGGATCTCTTCTTTTCTGTTGTGGAGATATTCGTTCCATGTGCTGCAGTACAAAGTTGGAATGTTGGATAATCAGTACGAACATACATATATATTGGACACATTGGATAACCAGTTCAAACGAAGTGGATAATCAGTTCAAACAGGTCGGATAATCGACAGGAACACAATGGATAACCATTTAAAGGGAAAAAAGAGGTTGGATACGCAGTACAAATTAGTTGGATGACAAGTACAATCACATCGGACAAGTATTTGTTTCATTAAAAAAATATTCATTACCTTGTGGTTGAGTTTGTTGTTCATCAACCACCACTTCTTTTGAAGTAGGCACGGATTTCCCCACTGGAAGAGAATCCTCATCATTTGTCTGGTTCAATTGCTCCAGTCCCTGTGCTTTGTCAATTTCAATGTCTTAAAAATTTGTGGGATTAATTAAAGCTTGTACAGTGTTGTCACAAGTTTGTTGGTGTTGTTGTTGTTGTTGGTCAGCTACTTGTCATTGCAGCTGTTCTATTATTGTTGCAAACCTGCTTTCAGCGGCCTTCCATGCCATCTCGCACAATTCACAAATCTGTGCATCCTGGAGGTCTTGCTGGTCTTCCTGCTGCTCTTGTTGGTGTTGCGTTGTACTTGGAGGCGGAGGCATCTTTCTACTCATCGACACCATTGCATCTGTTAGGATCTTGATTGTACGCTTTGCTTGTTCATCTGGTTCGATTTTTAACTCCATTTCCTTCTCAAGTATGTGTAAAACAGTTTTGCTTATCGTGATAATCAATTGGTAGAAATTTTCATAAAGAGCAGCAAGGTCCTACAAAAGTGAATGTAGTTAGTGGAATGTGGAGATACTAGGTTGGATACGTAGGTGTAATCTGAAAAAAAATGGTTAAACACTACATAGACTTGCTGTGTGTTGGGGTTGGTCTGTGTATCCTTCTTCTGTGATTCCCCCTCTGGGTGTTCATCTCGGGATGCTGCTGAGGACGGTTTCTTGAGACGTTCAAGTGTCTGGACATCTGTGAAATTGCTTCCCTGAAGCCTTAATCTGTCGTCCAACATCTTTTGATCCCAACATTTGATCACAGGGAATGACCTCGGATGTGCTCTCTCATACTTACACCTGTCAAGGTAGCACAACTAACAAAAGAAAAAAGAAAAAAAGTTGGTGTTAATGATATCAGTACAAGCAAATTGGATAAACATTGCAAGCAATATGGATAACTAGTAAAATTTGTACGGATATGGTAAGTACCAGAAAAAAAGTGATCGGGCCGGTGAATGGTTTCCCATCGTGATGACTTTTGCATCCTTTGACCAGTGCATCAATCACATATTGACACCAATTGTATTCTGTCACCTCATTCATGTTCACAAGGGACTTCAGGATGTTCATTGTAATCCTGGAGGTGGTGTTTCCATGTAGGAATGTGCTCACAACGAAGACTAGGAAATCTCGTTTGAAGTCATCACCAAAATCTTTTCGACCAGCAATTAATTGTGCCGCCGTGGATCTCGTTGGCAGGAATTTATTACTGTATCCCATTCTTTTCTTGAATGCATCCACCATCTCAACGTGGTCCGTTATAGCGGGATCGTTATGTTTGAATTCTTCCACTGGTTTGGGTCCATGAGGAAGACCAAGTATAGTAACAACATCTTCCTGTTTGATATCCAGTACATTATTGCCATTCAATGGGCCTTGTCTCACACTGGTCTGGAAATTGTTTGCCAGAAAACTACATAAGACTGTTGAAATATTTTTGATTTTGAGATCCAACAAGGCGCCAAATCCCATATCTCTAATAGCCTGCCTTTGTAGTTGGCGATAATCTACCGCATCTGGCTCTTTTGTAAGATCCGTTGGTTTATTGATTTCAATGATGAGCTGGAAGAGATGGATTGGTGTCATCCTGGTCTCAAATTTCTTGACAGAATCTTCAGAACTGATTGGCTGTGGATCTTGACCAATCATCAGTTTGTTGTTCTCAGGTTTCGTTCTTTTCTTTTTGGGCTTTTTATCATCATTGTCATCAGCAACCACAAGTTGCTTTGGATTTCCTGTCGGTGTGCTCTTCTGTCTCTTTGGTTTCCTTAGTAAGTTGTGGGGCCTTGGACTTTGACCAGGGGACTGTTCTTCTTGGGTTGATTTTTTATTTTTAAATATGGTCAGTGTTCCTTCAGGGAGCTCCATTATCTCTGGTTCAGGATCCGGTGATCTGTCTGGGTTGCGGTTAAGGTCGTGGCTTGCGCTGATCCACTCGTGCCTATATTTTGTTCTAGCCTCCTTTAGGGCACTATTGGCATTGGACAATCACTAAGAAGTAAGTGGACAAAATAGCAGGATATGAAAAAGAGCAGTAATAAAAAAAGGAGTAACCAGTATGAAATGGGTAGATAACCAGCAAATCATGTGTGGACATGTAGCCACATAAAAGCACATCTAAAAAAAACAATGGATAACCAGTTTACACGCTGCGGATAACCAGTATAAAATGGGTGGATAACCAGAAACATAGTTTGGACAAGCACCCCATAGCACACATGCAGGAAAACTTGAATAACCAGTTCAGATATATAGTGGATAACCAGTTCAGTTTGTCCATGCCACATAGAATCAAATGTAAAAAAAGCATGGATAACCAGTTAACAACTTGTGGATAACCAGTTTACAACTTGTGGATAATTAGTTTACAACTTGTGGATAACCAGTTTACAACTTGTGGATAACCAACAAATAATGTATGGACATGTAGCCACATAAAAGCACATCTCAAAAAAAAATGGATAACCAGTTTACACCCTGCAGATAACCAGTATAAAATGGGTGGATAACCAGAAACAAAGTTTGGACAAGCACCCCATAGCACACACGCAGGAAAACTTGGATAACCAGTTCAGATATATAGTGGATAATCAGTAACAAAAAAACACAAAAACAGGGATAACCATTTCCGTTTGTCCATGCCACATAGAATCAAATGTAAAAAAAATATGGATAACCAATTTACAACTTGTGGATAACTAGTATACAAATTCTGGATAACCAGTTTGAAATGAGTGGATAACCAATATGCTATGTGGATAACCAGTATGAAATAGGTGGATAACCAGCAATTATGCCATGGACAACCATCACATAGCATACGCACGAAACCATGGATAACTAGTTCAGATCTAGTGGATAAACACAAAATATTACTGAATAATCAAAAGAATAGGATCCCGGAGTAATATACTTACTAGTGAAGCATGTATAGATGAAGGAGAGCTTGAGATGGCCGGAGGTAGGGTTTCTCGCCATCGTCTGTGTTGTGAAAGAACAGACTGACAAAAGGAAAAAACGCAGAGAGAAGATGAAGTTATCAAAATCGTCTTCCAGCGGAGGTTTTCCGTCGACTTTCTGTAATTTTGTGGTGGTGGTCAGTTTTGTATTTGCCCTAAAATGGAGAGCTTCCGACGACCGTGTGTTTGTGTGTGTTTGTGCGTGGGGATGAAATGGATGAAAACAATATTTTGTGTGCATTAAATGTAAAGGTAAAAGCAGTTAGGCGCGTGATGCGCGTGTGTTTGGTGAGGTTATACGGTGCACCCGGGTGCACTGGATACAGACTCCAATTACGTGGCTTTTGTTTTTATTTTTTTTTAATTTTTTTTTACTTTTTAATTTTAATATTCATATTAGTTTTTATGATTATTAGACTAGACGAGAGTTAGACGCCCTTCGCGTGTACAAGATATATAAAAATATCGTAAATAATTAAGACAAAAAAAAATTATATCGACATGGCTTGTGTTTTTATTATTTTACTCTTGCATTTTAATATTCATATTAGTTTTCATGATTATTAAACTAGATGCGTTAAACGCGTTTCGCGTGTATGAGAAATATAAAAATATTGTAAAAAATTATAAGACAAAAAAAATCTTAAAAGTAAACAACGTGAGTTATTTTTCTTGTTTGTTAGATTACCTAGAAAAATAAAATATTAAAAAATTTATCAGTAGCAAATATACAATTATAAATTACAAAGTTTACTATGCGTATAAAATTTTGTTAATTAGAATGAGTCAATTTAGAATTTCAACGAAGGTAACGCATACTATTCTAATTCAAACCAACGAAAAAAAAGGAAAAATGCATTTGTAAAGGGGGTAATAAAACACAATCAAAGCACAATATCAATTGGAAAAAAAAATCTTTACATTAAAAAAGAAAAACTCAAAAGAGATAATATCAAAGTTGAAAACAAAGTTCCAGAATGAAAAGTGAAACGTAAACGGAAAATAATGATTGGATAGTTATCTTAATAGACTTGTGACGAAGAGAGGTCAAAAAGAGCATGGGCAAATGCTTGCAAAAAAAAAGAAAAGCATATGACTAGAAAGTCCGCAAACAAATAAGTGGGTGAGGACTACCAAACCTCAAAATCATGTTCCAATTATTATATATCTTATATATATATATATATATATATATATATATATATATATATATATATATACTAGTGATGTCTGGTCGCGCAATGCGCGACCCTGGCCCAGTCTATCTGTAGATCTTAGAAATGTTTATATTTGAAAAAAATAAAATTTTGTATTTGGAGCGATATATTTTAGAAATTTTTGAAGGATTTAGAAATGTTTTATAAGTGTGATCATAGAAATATTTGTATTTTGTAAAAAAAAATAAATAAATTGTATTTCGCCATGTATGTTTTAGAAATGTTTTATAAGTGTTACTTATTAAATATAAATAGCTTAATCGAATATATGTGTTGAAGTAAATGTTAGATAAAATATAAAAGTATCCTAATAAATTTAAATATTAGTAAGATGATTTATTGATGTTCTCCATTGGTCGTGCCAAATCAATACTTAGTTTTGGAGATTTTTAATAGCTTTGTAATAAGCTTCATCCGAAGGGTATACGCTTAAAACAAAATTGACACTTTGTAACAAAAAACCTAATTGATCAATTCAATTTAAAAAACCACTCTAGTTGAATGAAACATAAAGAAAAAATTAAAAAAAAAAAACGTGTCACGTAAAGTGGAAAGGGAGATTTAGTAATTTAGTTATGGTTAGACAAAAGGGCAATTTAGTATTTTCTACATGCCACGTGCAATCATATGAGGTGTTTGAAAGGAAGGTTTTTGTTTCTAATATAGTAGGATATAAAGAATTTTAATCCAAAGACACGTGTCGCTTCATTAGAATATTAATAGTTTTTACGGTAAATATTTAACGATAAAAAAGTTAATATTTTATATTTACTATTAATCTTAATATAAATAGTTAAATATTTATTACTTTTTGTTTACTATTTATCTAAAATTATTTAAATACTAATTCACCTTAACTTTAAAATAAAAAAAAATATTTGAACTGAAATTTTTGCCGGCATTGATCTCCAATTATTCCGGCAATATTTCGTGATGATCTCCCTCCGGCATAACCTCCGGCATCACTGTCTACGTATATGGACTAACAACAAAACTGCGACGACTTCCGAATTACATGAAAACAACACCGGCGATAGTATCCTTAATATCTCACCTAAAATCTGCCATTAATTCAATTCTGGGGACGTTGTCTCGCAAAAAAAATTTTCATCAGCCGCTTTCTAATGTGAGATCGAAGTCCTTGTGCATTCGCTAATCCTTGCTTTTACGGGCGATTATTACATCCAGACAAGCATGACAGAAAACAAATCTGAGATGAAAAAAATAATCTCTACAAAGACGACCACTCAATAGAGAGAAGAGGGGGGCTCTGACTGAGGACAAAGAAGAAGAAGATATGGAAGAGGAATCCGGCTCTGACTGGATACGAACGGTGGTGACAGAACCGTCGGTAGTGAGGAGGGAGGGACAGTTACTTGTTCTGCGAAATCAATTAAGAGAAAGAAAGAAATGTGCGGTGGTTGGGAGAATAAGTAGGTTAGGTTTTTCTAATTGAATTTTAGAAAATTATGTTATGACCCTCTTAGTTTAGATTATTATTTAAATGACGTAAACATTTAATATAATACTTAAAGCTGCAACCAAATTTCTTAGTATTTAATTTATTATATTATTAATTGTTATAATAATTTATTATATAATAATGACATCATTCAGTTTTGAACCGGTCCAGACAGTAAACTGGTAACCCGATAAGACATGACCGACGAAGGGACAGCCTGGAGATCCCAGAGGCTAATTGACCGTCGGATGGAAAATCAACGTCCTGGATGGAAAATCGGCTGGTGAGGCAGCGGTAGGTGATGGAGGCCGGGGAAAGACATATAGGGTTTGGTATTCCATTTGTTTCTTTTTTTTTTTCCAGAAACAATTATCCTATATCTCAAATTAGTTCTAAACTTAGTTTATTTTTGGAACACATTAAATTTGAGATGTTTTCATTGTTTTACACGATAACATTTGGGTGATTCAAAATTTAAATGATAATAATTGTATACGGAGCACTTTTAAATGATAATGAAATACTAAAATTCTAGATATGCTTTGAAAGGTAACATATTTAAAATTTGAACAATAACAACATAATCTGTCTCTCTCCTGCATGTAGCACCCCCCATCTCGAATCCATTCTTGATCACCGTGGCCTTCTCCGTTATCATCTCTCATTTGTTACCTCATCTCTATCTCTTCTTGCTCGGCCTTGACAATCTACTATCACCAACGCTACGTCATCAGCTAACCAGCACCGTGGCTGTCTCAATAATTTTCTTGCTTAAAAGCTGACTTTTTCAACTTTTTTTTTAGTTTAATTAGGGTATTTTACGCTTTCGTTATTTGCGTGATTTTGATTTTGATTTATATGTTTAATGCCTACCTCTTCTCACATTTTAATTTTGTTTCACGTCTGTGATTTTCATGGCTTTTCATGCATGAAAATTTTTGGATTTGACGTCACATGAATAGGCCTTAATTGCCCATTTAGATTATAGCCTCTCTGATGGTGTTGGATTGAAGTTTCGGAGATGAAGGATGAATATATTTTTTGTGGGTATTTTTGATATATTTTTATTTGGTGTTTGATATAATTATTACCTAAAGTAGTTTTCTTAGTTTTATGCTTAGGGATCAAAATTGATTGCTTTTGGTTCGATTCGTTCCAAGCCCAGGTTTCGATGATTAGTTTTGTTAAAAGAATCCGATAGCGAATCCAATCCTTTGCCTATGAAGTTTG